ACTTGGCTTTGTATAAGAGAGGCTACAATTTAGTTCTTGTAAGTCACACAGGTTAGGGGTGGGGTGGGGTGAAGGAAGTATTGAATCATGTAAACTCGTAATCAGTGTGGGATGAAGACAAGGTTTTTCCTAACTGGTGTGGTCTCACCCAGACCTACTGCCCTCTGTACGATGCCGCCCACCCATCCACACCCATGCACAGCAGGACAAAATCTGCTCCGGAGCTTATTTCTCTGCCACTGCTATTACAGATGGAGGTGGTGGTGGTGGAGGGTGAAGTAACTTCTCACAGGGTAGCTGGATGCCACTAAAGGAAATTCTTCTCCACATTCCTCACATGATGATCCCTACAGTCCATCTATTTCCTGGCTTTTGAGCATCATTCGTGAAAGCTCCGGAGGCTCGTCAGCTATCTTCTCCCAGCTGGAAAGCTGCCCACAGCCTGCAGGGGGTTGGGGAAGAACAGGGAGGACAAAGCGAGCCTTGAAACTTGTACTACATACAGAGCTCAAATCCCGGCCACGAGAGGTTCACAGAGCCGCTGAGTTCACAGAGGAGCAGCCAGTTAAGTTCCCTTTGTAGACATTTCTTTCTTCTTCTTTTTTTTTTTTTTCTTTTCTTTTCTTCTTTTCTTTTTTTTTTTTTTGCACTTTTGGAAGAGAGACTTGTTACCAATGCCAATTCTTGAAGTGACCAAGGACTCTGGGACGATGCATAAGAGCCCTTTCCCCCTCCCCTCTGAAAGGCTGCTGGGTTCCCCTGCCGAGGGCACTAGGACGCTGCCGAAAATGGCACAGAACTGGATGAGATTTCGGCTGACTTCACAATGGTGATGACACTGGTGGTGGCCACTTTGGTCGGGGTGATGGGCCCTCGCGCCACGGTACGAGCGAAGGTCTGCAGCGCCTCGTACTTCGAACGCAGGGCGTCCAGCTCCAGCTTCATGCTGCTGTTTTCTCTGGCCAGCTTCTCCACCTCCTGCTGCAGCTCGACCCGCTGCCTCTCCAGCTCCTCCTTCTGTGTCACGCGCTTGATGCGGCAGCTGGCAGCGTAGCCCCTGTTCTTGAGCGTGCGCCTCCGCTGTTTCAGGCGGATGACCTCCTCTTTGGTGAGACCCCTCAGGTGCTGGTTCAGCTCCCGTACGGACATTGACACGAGTTCATCGTCACTCAGCACTGGGGCATTCTCTCCCGACTCCTCCTTTACCTGCAAATACCAATTGCACAGCAATACAGTGGATGAAAAAGCTACTTAACAGCCCTCCTGACAAAAACAAGAGGACACCTCTGCTACTCGTAATGAATGCAGACCTGATCATTTGGCGCCTCCAAGCATGTCACAGACTAGGCATCCCACTGAAATGCAGCCACCATAGCAGATATTTCAGCATCATATTCTCAGGGTTTAGACACCACTGCAAAGTGTTCTGGGTCAACTTTACACCTATGGTGAGGCAGTGACAGTGATGGTTACCTTATTTGAGCTACAAGGCTTGAACTGAATGTGCCACGGGATTTACCCAGGTCCTGCCCCTTCATGAACACTGTGCCTTCCAGCCTTAGGCTGGAATCAGGACACACTCAGGGAGGAGTGAATGACCATCAATGCTACTTTCTGCATCTTGTAGCTTTTCTTTGGAGGTCTCCCATCCAAGTGTGGACCAAAAGTTACCCCCCCATTTGGCTTGTTAAACTGCCATCTGAAGTGGTTTTACTGGACTTCTGCACAGGGGAGTAATACAAGATCCACAGCAGAACTACCTCCCCTCAAGCTTTAAAAACTTTTAGTTTAGTATAATCATTCGTAGTATGCCTCAGGTGTTGCTTTTACCCCTCTGGAGAGTGGGGGCTACCTGATGGAGACTCCAGGACACTGGAAGCATCTTTCACTTTACTCTTGCACACACAAGAGTAAAGTGTGCAAGAAAGCTGTGAAGTGAGTCTGCCTATAAAGCATTTCCTGCCTGAACACACGTGTAGGCAAGACCTTTCCCAGAGTTTATCCTTCTCATGGTAGCAGCATCCCACTCCTGGGCCCAGGAACATCTGTTCCAGTATGCTGTTAACATGCTTCCAATGCAGTCTGGTTAGAAATCTCTCCCAGAGACTTCAGTCTTCCCCCATTATACAGTCAACTCCCCTCTACTCTTCTTTCTTGAGCTCACCCTGCTGATACCCAAGAGATATGCCGGCAACAATGTACCAGTCTCTCAGAACACGGGGAGGGCACCATTGACAGCAACATACACATCTAGAGCAAGACCCCTTCAACCATCCCATTTACCCTGTGTAATCCCCACCACTCTCCCGCCATACCTTTAATGCCTTATTTGGTTTGGGATTAGTCGTCATAACCTGGGCACAGTCGCCTGGACAAAACTGCTCAGAAATTGCAACTGGAAAAAAAAAATGAAAAAACAAAACAAAACACAATTCAGGTTACAATAAGAGTAGAGAATGAAACATCACCAACACGTGTACACACATTTCAAGCTAGCAGAACCGTATCTCTGGAGCACCAGGCAAAGAGAGGGGGCCACACAAGCGTTCATCATCCTTTGGGATGGGAGGCGAGATTCAGAGGGCTGCATGCTGTCCACTCATGTACGAAAAGGGCTCCCATGCATGGCCAACAGGTGCCCTGTGAACACAGCTTTCTGAAAAGCCCCAAAGGTTTCCAAATTCTTGGGGACATTTGTGCCAGGAAGAGGAGGAGGGAGCCCGGTGCCCGTCTGTGTACAGCTATTATGCTGGCAAGGCAGTGTATGGTACCCAGCAGGCCACCTTGCCTTCCCTTGCCCAGGAATTCAGTCTCTGAGACCCAATCTGACCTTCGGCTCCCTAAGGAGGCTTTGGGGGGATCCAGGTCCATCCACCTGGAACTGGACTGGGACCAGCGGCCTGCTTCCCAAGACACCAAAAAGACCTAGAGGACAGCGGCTGCTCTCTTTGCATTCACCTAGCCTACATTTGAAATGGCAGCCCAGAGAGGAAAAACCTCTCTCACTACCTGCCCTCCAAGCCACCCTGCACCCCAAAAATCATGGCTAAAAAACCCCCAAGAGTGGTGCAAAAATCAATTGGTAAAACAAGGGATGAGTTTGGCATCTCCCCAGGGATCGAGACTGTTGCTCCAGGATGCTCTCCCACCTCAGCTAGGAGGGGACCTGCTGAGGCCAGGCACATCCCCTCCGCCCTGATGAGACGCTGCCCTTCAAGCTCACCTCGGCGGGTCGCTACACCCCTTCAGGCCGCGGCGCTGGCCCTCGCTCCCGAACCTTCACGCCCACCGAGCCGGAGCGACGACACTGCCGGAGCAAGCGCTCATTCTGCACCTACCACGGCCGAGGGCCCTGCACTGTGACATCACGGCATCGCCCTACACTTTCCCCAGCATCTTGGCTGCAGAAGCCGGGGCGGGCGCGAGGGCTTCGGCTTTGACACCGAGTCCGTCCCTCCCGAGGAGCGGCTCGAGCAGATTTGGAAGGCTGCGGTGGCGCTGGGCGCGCAGCGCACAGACTGTCTGGCGGGAGTTCGCCCCCCCCTCCTACCCCAACCCTCCCCAATTCCACGTCTGCATCGTGTCACACATTCTAATCATTCATGAAAAATCCAGCCAAAGCATCCCAAGCATGATTCCCTTCTGATAGTTGCCATGGTGACCTTGGGAAAGTAGTGAACCCTGAGACAGTCGCCATGGAAACAGAGAAGCCCAAAAGCAATAATGACTTCAGGTCATGTCTGTGCAAAGACATCACGAGGTCGTCAAAGAGTAAACAAACTCATTCATGTCTGCAAACACCCCGGGGTGGGGGTGGCGGTGGGGGTGGGCAGCAGCGAGGGGTGGCGAAGGTAGGGTGGGGGGGTGACAGGAGCCGGGTGGTGGAGGGATGCTGGCTCAGCTTGTACTTAAACTGCACCAGTCAAGACATTTCATCATCATGTCTCTCTCACACACACACACACACACACACACACACACACACAAATCAAGATAACAAGGGGTGAGAACAAGTGCAGAGTAGAGGAATTTCCCTGGATTTGAGCGCCTTTTTATTAAAGCACTTCATCTGGCTTCCAGCACAGTGCTCCATCTCCCGGCTAGTCTCTCCCCCACCCGTCTCGACTGCCTCCCATCACGCAGCATGCGAGCCAGACCAGCGACAGACACTTCGTGATGAATGGGCCACTTAAAGCAACTGGTGTGCGGTGCCTTTAGCACAGCATCGCGCCGGGCCCAGGCTCGTGCCTAGTACTAACCACCCGCCCCCCCTGCCCCGGACAGCATCTCCAGCAACCGTCCCTCTCCTCCTCTGCAGCAGACTCGGTTCAGAGCAGCTAAGAGTGCCTGGGACAAATGGTAACCGGTTCTCACAGTCTGCATGGTGCAACCCCAGCAGGGGCACTTGTCACCTGCTGCAGGGAGGAAAGAAAAGGGGGAAGCCAAAGGCTGACCGTCATGCCCTGTTAAGTTCTGTTTTTTTTGCATAGACAGCAAAGGAAGGGGCAAACTCCCCCCCCACACAGATACCTTCCCCTTCTCCCCCTTTGGACCACCTCTCCCTCATTTCCCCCGTCACGCTTGGTATTCAGCACGCACCCCTGCCGCCGTCCTACTCGAGCCACAGGCACAAATACATTAGCACGCAAAGGAGGAAGGAAAGGCTCCTGGTCTTGGCCAAATGATCCCAATGAGTAACGGGGAAAGCAGTGTGCAGGCAGTGCAGAAAGGAAACAGGCTGTAGCCCCCTCCCTGCACACACACAGCCTCGGGCCTTGCAGTCAGTCGGTGCCATAGCTATGAAGTGAGTCACCAGCTGTTTACAGAGTTGGAGAGCTCGCATTCCCACAGAACCAGAAACCCGCTGGATCCCCCCCCTCGGCCCTAGAAGGGAAGGGGCACGCTGGAGTCCCACTGGCGGCACTTGGCAAAGCAAAAAACCGGAAAAGGAAAGTCAAAAAGGAGGGGGAGGCGGGGGACGACTCGGTCACACCCACCGATTACACAAAAAGCCTTTTGATCCTCACCCGGCGTGTCTTCAAAGCGCTTTCTGCACCAGCCGACGGAAAAACTGAACACGCTGCTGGCTGCGCGGAGATGGAAAGACATGTAAAACGCGGTGGAAAACAAGCGTGGAGGGCTGAGACTCCCTCCCGGGGGTTGCAATGCGGGTGAGCCTGCCACCCAAAGTAACACGGCTGCAATAGGAAGCGGCTCTGATTCCATGTGACAAACCCCCCTTCTGGTCACCTGTTGCTTTGTGTCTCTGATGGCTGCTGAAGCAATGCCTATTTACACTGCAAGTTCCTCAAGGGAGGTCCTGGAGTCCTCTGCGTTTCACACGCCGCCAACCACGCTGTCGGCACCCGATGAGCCGACAAGGGTCCAGGAAATTCAAAAACAGCAACAGAAATTAGAAACAGAAGAACGCTATCCTGGCCCTGCATCTCCGGGGGTCACCGGTACTGAACACCTCCCTTACCTCCTTTGTTCTTTATTCAAGGGCCATTTTGCTGACATGCTGCTGTACTCGAGGTATTGCACTGTCTGAAATGGCTTAGAACCAGCTCGCATTAGAGAGGCCCAGGCAATACAGCAGAGTCACTGCTGGGACAGAGATGAAGGAGGGACTCAGGTACCCCAGCGTTCCCAATTGGCACCTGTGCAAAATGGGACCATTGGGTCAGCAGCAGACTGTGCACAAGATCGGCATCTAAACCAGTGGGTCTCGACCTTTTTTGTACCAGGGTCCATTTGTAAACATCAATGGCCAGTCTTAATGTGCTGCCCCTCACTCCCAACCCACTGGCCCCAGGCCCTGGCTCCCCAGTGGATGGGACATGGGGGGTCCCCAAGCAGCCCCTCGCAGGCTGCAGCTCTGCCAGCCTGCAAGGGAAAAGTCGCAGTTTTCCATGTTTTTCTCTTTTAAAGGAGAATCCATTTTTTTAAAGTTTGTTCCTGACCCTTTCATATATTCTTGAGACCCACTTCCTGGCCCTTGGGTTGAGAAACACCAATCCAGACAAGCCCCCTCTCCTGTGAAGAGCTGCTATTCAGGAACCGTATGTCCCAGAGGCTGGGTCGTGCCCCTTTGACACTTGCAAAACACATCACTAACCCTACCCCTAACCTGCCAGAGTTTAACAGGGCGCTATGGAGAGCATCCAAATAAGATCTATCAAAATCACAAACTCAGTGACCATTCATCCAAGACTCATCATCTTATAAAGTAAATCAGCCTGCAGGTAGGGTCCAAACACAGGACCTGGAACAAGCACTCAGAGTTATAATCCTGACCAATAATTACGTCCTCTGTGGCCTTGGGTTGGTTTCTTAAAATATGACGCAATCTCCCCCTCTGTAAAGCGAGGATAAAAATACTTACAATCTGTACTGATTAAAACTGTCCATTTATCGCCCACAAGCAGTTAAATATATTACAGTGTGTGGCATTTCCTATCTTTAGAATCCAAAGACAAACCCTTCTAGTAAAAAGGTAAACAGCTGCAACTATTCCACACTGAGGGATGTCCACTGCACACAGCTTGCAGAGGTGTTTTGAAGCTCCCTTTTCTTTCTTTGCCGTATTCCTGCCCTTCTTTTCTTAATTGCAATTGCTTCATCATATCTAAAGTTAGCATGGAAGCTTTTTAGAGCACGGGCCACATTACATCTTTATTTTGCAAGCAGCCTGGCACACTTCTGAGTATCATACAAGAACAGCAGGCAGTTCTGTGCCCCCGATGAGGGCACAAGGGCTTACAGATTGGCATCTTTAGTATTAAGAAGTGCTTTTGTTGTGGTGATGTCATGTTTTTAAACGGAAATGATCCCCTGGCACTCTTCCCAATACCTTTGCTCACCCCCCTTATCACTGTCAACATTGTCAGGAGAATCCGGGACAGAATTCCAAGCTGCGTGGTTTTGGTTTGGCACCACTGGTAACCCCTACTAATTTTCTTAGAGGCAGCTCAAGACAGGGGAGATAAAGACAGCCCTAACTAGTGGATAGAGGCAAGAGTGCACCGTGATGTGAGATGACTTGCAAGGAAGAAGAGCACAGTAGACTACATCAGTTTTTAAATAGCACTTCTCGCATGCTGGGGCTCCCAAAGCACTTTACAAAGTAATGCATTAATGACAGTCATAGCTGCTACCTCACAGCAGGCATGGATGCACTTGTGAGTAATTTGTACACAGCCTTGAACATTAAAACCCATTTATCCAAAAATGGAACAGTGGCCAGGACAAAATTATCCAGCAGAAAGCCCCATCAGTATTTAGCTTCCATTCAGACACACGCGAGATGGCAAGGACAGCAATGTGAAGATGCACAATCCTCAGCCCAAAAGGGCCAACGACCGCTTTTCTCCTCCCTAAGAGCACTGCCATGCCAGGACGGTTGCACGGTAGAGGACTCTCCGTCTTCGACAACTCATCACATCAAGAATCTCCATTCTGCCCAGAGGCTTAAAATCAGCAGTACTGCCTCCAGCCAGTCCAAAACACAGTGAGACGATTTGTAAGGCAGCTGGTCAGCAACCTATCCACACTTTCAGTTTACCCACAAGCTACTTG